GTTATTTGCTTATGTTCTGACAGGGGTGCATTAAAATAAGGTGGATTAAGAATTTCAACCTCAAGACGTAGTGTGGCTCCCTTTACAAAACTGGAGACCATGGCGTCTTACAAATACAGGATGGGGAAAGCGAAGCTCAGGTAGACATCACCCTGCTCTGCCCCCATGCTGAGAAGCAGCCAGGCCTCAGCCTCCCCGGCACAGAGAAATCCAGTGTCTCCAGGATGGGGTGACCCACAAGGCCAGCAGGCACCCTGGCCACCCCCTGGCTCTGGATGGAGTCACCAACGCTTTCCTGATCCCATTAATGGTAAGAGCCTGGTGTGTTTCAACAATGAAACAAAGACAGTATGTTGATACTTTCATCCACATGCTGAACTGATGCTACTGCTTGGTAATTTAATACATGTTGGGTGACTATATACTGAGTCCTAGTTTTTCAAAATGATGATGTGTTCAGCCTATATATCCTAAAAGCAGCATGGATTTGAGTCCCCTGGAAAACAGAAGGTCTGTTCAGCAAGTTTTCAAAGCCCAAGGCCCAGCAGTCAGCTCTTTCATTCACTTCTGTCCTGCAAGCAGTCTACCCACTTTCTTTACTTCCCCGTCCACATCCACTTCTGAAACCGCTGGGGCTCCCATCGACTTCACTGGCTTTCTCCCGTCTCTTGCTAACCCCCACCCCCCGCCCAGGTGGTGTCCCTGCCATTCAATTCTTTTTCCCAGGTCTGTGGCATCAATAATCACCTCTGTGGGGACGAGCCCACTACGCAGCATTCCCATGTGCCTGAAAGCCATTTCCATTGGATGTGCTGTCGCCACCTCAATTCCACAAGCATAAAACCAAACTCATCCTTCCCCAACTAAAAACAGCTTCTAGTCCTATTTCAGTTAACAACTCACACTCAAAAAGCATGTCATCTTTATCCTCTTCCTGTGCCAGAGAGCTCACAGGCAGGGAAGCTGACCAGGAAAGCAGCAGTTACAATGTAATTTCATAAGCAGTGAGGGGTTTGCAAAAGGTGTGTGAGGACAGAGGAAGGAAGGGCTCATCCAGCTTTGGGGGAAGTCAAGGAAGGCTTGATAAGAGAGGTGAAAGAAACAAGCATGGAAGGCTGAGTAGGAGTTGGTAGGAAAAGTCACTGTAAGGAGAAGGAACAGGGCACACATTCCGAGAGCAGGGGGATCCCAGAAGTCAGATGTGCTAGGAGCACGGAGCTGACGTCAAGAAGGAGCTGGGGATGACTCTGGAAAAGCCACAGGGCCAAGTGAGAGAAGCTCTTATAGACTCTGATGAGGAACATGCATTTACTCTGCAGCCACAGGGAGTCAGGAGAGAATTTTAAGAAAGGGAATAGAATAGTTTGATTTCATATCATCCTGGTGGAGGAGTAGCAGATTAGAGGTGGGGCTGGGAGGAGTGGGACAGAGGGCAAAAGGGGGGAGACTAGAAAGAGGGGTGGCTCTGTTATAACTGGCCTTTCATCAATAAATCAATCAGTAGTGTTTATCAAACATTCACTTATCTGCCTTTACTTCTACACTATGCTGGGAGCTGATTCATACTCATATGTTGCAGTATAACTTCTGAAACATGCAGTAACATTTTTGGAGGATCCTTATAAGAATGCAAAGTTATCTCTAATCACACTACCTCAGCAAAAAAGAGCCAAGAAGAAAAAATATTCTTCAACCCTTCTCAGGGACAGAAAGCACTGTTTCCGAAGTCCAAGAAGGAAAGGCAAGAATTTCAAAAGTGAAATTATTATGAAAGGCTGTAAAAGATAGAAATGAGTCTGAAAACCAAATGAAAAATGAATGTCACTTCAGGGCCTCTCCCAGCCTCAAAGCCAATTAATCATCACAGCAGTAAGAGTAATTGCAAGCCTTCCACTCCACTCGCTGATGTGGAAGGTCATCACCCCAGCCACAGGCAACAGCAGCCTTCCCGTGTGTCAGGCGGTGCTCTGCAAGACTGCAGGCTGGTGAGCTCTTCCACAGCAACCCTGAGGGACGGATCTGGACCCACCAATCTTTTACCAATAAGCAGACTGTGTAGATCACTGAATTATAAATACCACCTACTCCGATCAGCCTCCACTTCCTATATAGTAAACCTGTTGATGTGAGAAATCCAGGCACATAAAAAGCCACTATATAAAAAGTATCACTGAAATTAGGCTGGGGACACAGGTTCGCACCTGTAATCCCAGCACTTTGGGACGCTGAGGCAGGAAGATCACTTGAGGCCAGGAGTTTGAGACCAGCCTAGGCAACAGAGCAAGACCTTGTCTCTACAAAAAATTCAAAAATTAGCCTGGTGTGGTGGTGCGTGCCTGCAGTCCCAGCTGTTCGGGAGGCTGAGGTGGGAAGAGCGCTTGATAGCAGGAGTTTGAGTTTGCAGTGAGCTATTATCATGCCACTACACAATACCCTGGGCAACAGAGTGAGACTTCTTATTTATTTATTTGAGACAAAATCTTACTAAAAACAGAGGGCAGTTTTTGCCTTTTCTTCCATTCAAATTCTCATATTCTTAAGTGCCAATCTAGAACCACAGTATGTGAAGAAATGCAAAACTAATTCCTCAGCACCAGTGAACTGATCTGTGACTGGTCCCCAAAGCAGTGCTAAGTCAATTCAAACTTGAGAGAATTTCTGGCCAAGGTGAGCAGAGGCTTCATTGGATGAAGTCTCCCTAAGACTGATTTCCAACCATTAAACATACATCCAAAACTGATTTTCTTGCTTTCTTTTTTTTTTTGAGATAGGGTCTCACTCTGTTGCTCTGGCTGGAGTACACTGGTGTAACCTCAAACTCCTGGGCTCAAGCAACCCTCCCACCTCAGCCTCCCAGGTAGCTGGGACCACAGGTATGCACCAACACACCCAGCTAATTTTTTTATTTTTTGTGAAGTGTGAAGGCAAGGTCTCGCTATGTTGCCCAGGTCTCAATCTCCTGGCCTCAAGCGATCCTCCCACCTTGGCCTCCCAAAGTGCTAGGATGACAGACATGAGCCACCACACCCAGCCCCAAACTGGTTTTCTTTATGTCTGTTTTTCCCCATCAGTCCTCATGAGGGCAACTAAAGCCAGCAAGGGACCTCCCCTTCAGAGCAGCGAAGCCTTGACAAGGAGCTGACAGTTATTAAAATCCACTCCACAAAAAATGCTTCTAAATATTTTGTCTTATTTAATCTGCACAATGTGTGGAGGTATGATTAGCCACCTCCCATGAACAGGTAAACCGAGGCTCAGAAAGGTTAAGAAATTTGCCTAAGACTGACTATATGGGATAAAACTAGACTGTACCTGGCAGATCCCAAAGCCATGGTCTTCAGGCTCCCACACCTTGCTGCCTCCCCCAGCAGGGCTCCACACTTTCAGCCCGGAAAACACCAATGTTAGGAAAACCATGACTTACGAAAAGCTGCCAATCCCAGCATTGGAACCAACAGGGCATAATTCCACCTGCTTCCATCACCGCCATCAGCCCTGGAATTAGGTCGGATATTCCAATTTGGAGGATCATTTAAGTTATTCATAGAGATGTACCTTGAAGTAAAGGATACACACATTAACCATAAAAGGAACAAAATATATCTGTCTCAATTACATCATCTACATGGAGCATTTGAATCGCTATTTTTATTCAAGAAAAATTTTCAGTTCTGTCTACGTGCTGCACAGCCCTGAGCCCTACGGGATTCAAAGAAAGCAAAAACAAGACCTTAGATGAGAGCAACTCACAATCTGGTGGGGGAAAGTGGGCGAGAGACCTGTCTTAAATAACTGAAAAACAGGTACGATGAGGTAAGTTCTCCAG